AGCTCTCAAAGTGAGGCCAAAATGGAGGGAATATCCTACCTTACCCTGAGAGTCCACCTCTACATCAAAACAAACTCTCCATGCAAAGATAGGGAGCAAATACATTAGCAGGGTTGCCGTGTTTTCAGTTTTGGAGTCCCCAAATAAGTTGGCGGCCTCGTCAATGTATTTGCTCCCTATCTTTGCATAGAGAGTTTGTTTTGGTGTAGAGGTGGACTTTCAGGGTAGGGTGGGATATCCTCTCCATTTTGGCCTCAACTTGAGAGCTTTTTTTGAGCTTGGGAGTTGATTTCAGAGAAAACCGGTGGCACCATCGTGTTTCTCGCGAACTTTTACATAAGAATCAATGGTCAAATTGCAAATCCCTCACACATGCAACATCTCCATTCAAGCCGGGCGGTAATCTTAGTGATGGAAGGAGATCAGCTAAGTGCAGTGATGACGCGACGTTTGCGTGGAAATTTCCTTACTACGCAGCGCTAAAGATACACCTCAAGAACGCATCGTTATTTTTCTATGCATGCTGACAGCTGGAGGTTCAACTGAAGTCTCTGGTCCGGCAAGATAATGTAATTGGTGCAGTGGGCCGGGGTGGGACTCCGCACTCTAATTTCCGCTCAATATGTCACATCGCGGATCGTCACAGCCGGGAAGCCCTGAAAGTTCAGCGCGAAATGAGTGCTGGTACACGGGCCGTCGGGAAGTGCATCGAAGAGTCACATGTAACGGTTGCCGCCAGTGAGACGCCAAACAGAGGCGTCAGAGCAGAGTTGCTGAAAGAAATTTCATCGAATGAAATTTCTTTTTTCCCCATGAAATTTCTTGAAATTTCCTCATGAAATTTCTTCTTATAATCTTTCACGAAATTTCTTAACTCTGCGCCAGAGGCATTGCCGGCCAAGACAATCAAAAGTGCGCCGAAGAAATTCCGTCCCAGCACATTACTCCGGTCAAAAATGGTATTTTCATCGAAACTCAAAAATCCTCAACAATTTGTCGAAATTTTTTTTGAATTGGTTTTATTTCCCTCTATCCGAACCAGTGCTTTCACACTGCAAAAAAAAATCTCGGTGTATTTACTAAGAAAAGGGTAAAATTACCAAGAATTCAATGCACTATTTGATCCCAGTTTTTTCTCGGTAAAATTACCATTTATGGAATTGGTAATTTTACCGAGAAATCTTGGTAAAATTATTGAACTTTCTCGGTAATTTTACTGGACCTTGGTAAAAACGTCGATATTTTTTATCGACTGTGGTAGAATTACCGAGATAAAATGGCAAAGTTACCGGGAATTGATTACCAATAAAAGTGGTATTCTTACCTGAAAAAACAGTAAAAATACCGGTTTTTAGGTAAGCTCACTAGTCTGTCTTGGTAAAATTACCAATAATTGGTACAAAAAGTGAGACGGTAAAGGTACCAACAGACCTTGGTAAAAACGCTGAGAATTTTTTTTCAGTGTGAGACGCCAAACAGATTTTCTCCTTCTTTTTCCTCGCGAATCCATTTCCAGGGCAAATTAACCCAGTGCTCCGGCGCCATTGCATCCCGCGTGAACAGTATTATGTAACAGAGTTATATTAAATTGCAATTGATTTCTCTTACACCCCCTTCCCTCCACTTAAATTCAGCCGAGAACGATTTAAGGAAAAACACATTAAGAGCGTTTTACATTTTGCCTAATTTCTCGAGACGAATGACTCATTTTTCGATGTCTGGGAAGAATATTTTTCTTTGGAATTCTCCGAACCACTAAGTTAAACTACGAATTAAAGGCTTCGAAAAATGCCTGGAAAAAGCTCACAAGTTTTCCATGTAATATACATTTTTCAGAAAAAATGTAGGTGCGATTCAAAGGAGCGTGCATATCGCGGAACTTTAATCTCAAAATTTAAGATTTTGGAAAATTGCGGCGACTGTGGCTGAGAGAGTGTTGTTGCCAACTTTTAACGTTTCACACTAGCCACTTTCGTTGCCAGCCTTGTAATAAGAAAGGCTCACTTTGGGAATAATTTTTTCGCACGTTTAAGACAAAATCGGTTTCAACTCTGAGCAAACACGTTTAATATGTGCTTTAAAGTTGGATTTACTCCACTAATCCAATCAAAACACATTTCCAGTCATCTCCAAAGTTATATGTGCGTAAGTCCGATATTTTTGGATCGAAGACAATCCAATAAAGTCCCATGAGCTTCATGAAGCCCGGAGTGGATCAGGATAGGCCGAAAGCTGATCAGGGATGCATCTTCCAAAAAGCATGTTCCTTTTTTTCTCTCCATAAAAATGCTCTATCTTTTAGAAAGGACATACCTACCATTGATTTTTCCGCAGAGACTCATGCTGTTTTTACAAAAGTAAAGTATATTTTAAGTTTATTTATAGTGCTCAAAATTATTTTCCTCTCGATACTTATTGTCAGATGCTATCCAGCCATGAATCTGGCAACCATGTTACCTACGTAACCGTTAAGCCATTCAATCGATGTACCTCATCTCCGTTGCTAATTCGATTAATGAATAGGAAGTATTATTTCCAATCGAGAGAAGTACTTAACCCTGGCGTCACATAATGTCTCAGAACATTAAATAGAGATCAAAATCGCACCCTCATTATGACCTGACCATCTATGAGGCAATATTGTTGGGATATGACCTCATTCTTAAATATTCATTTTATTCTATTATGGCTAAACATCTACTGCAGTGTGTAAGACTCTTTTCCTGCTTTCGGTAGGCAATGATCAAATAAATCTGTTATCTCAAAATTTTACTTATTATGACGGTTTTTTTTTTTTTTTTTTTTTTTTTTTTTTTTTTTTTTTTTTTTTTTTTTTTTTTTTTTTATCTTTCTGGCCATGGGGGGTACCTACAAAGCCACGGTCACAATTTTTCACGAAAAATAAAATCATTTTCCATGTGAAGGATTTTATGAAATTTCACGAAAATATAGAAAATATTGAAACATATTTTTCAAAACTAAATCAAAATCAAAAACAAAATGAAGGACACATAGTTTTTGCTTAGTTGTGATTTTTGGTTTGTGTTGCATGAATATATGTTTTATATGTTTCACATTTTTGTGAAATTCCATGAAATATCTTACCGAAATCTACTCTTTCATGATTTACATTTTACTCGTGCAAAACTGTGCCAAGCGCTTGTCCGGGGCTGGACCGCATAGAAGTCAGAGGGGTCTCTCTTAAATGGGACAAAACTCCAAGTCCAAACGAGAAAAAAAGAGGAAATGTTGAATCTCTGAAAAGTCTCCAGGCTAGTGAAGGGTCTCAATTTGTCTTTGATTGGAACCATCGAGAATCGTTATTTACATGGAGTGACACAGCGATTAAATCTGTCAGGTTTTGTCACATTCTATGGCAGGTGGTTATTTAGCTCATTTTGGCGCCCACCCTCGAAACAATTTTCTCGCGGTAGACCATCGCGTGCATGAGTAACGGATTGACGAGTGTTTATAGGCAATCTTTGCCGTGCTAAGGAAGAACACCGTTTGAGCCATTAGACGTTGTCACGTTTCATTTCCAAAAATCTTAAATTTTCAGAAAAATTGTTGAATATTTCTCCTCCGAATTTTCAGGGGATTTTTTTCGTAATTTGATCTAAAAAGTCAGAAAATTGCTAGGATATTTATAACTTTTTTAAAAAAATAAATTATTTCTTAGAGAAATTTGGCAACATTCGAATACACATACGGCGTTTCTACTTAGGCCGGCAGCTCTGTCGGCGAGAGAATTATGTCAAATACCAAGTGAGCATGTGGGGAACCCCGCGTGTGAATTAATTGCTCTCACCGACGCGACCTGTAATTTCGGTTTCCCCGAGACACGCGGCCACCCGATGGACACTACCCATAGTTGGACTGCATTTTGCAATTTGGAACTATAGATTCTGGCCTGGCTTAAAAACAACGTATGTGCCATTGGTTTCCCTATGCACATAAGTGTTTTTTCAGATGAGCCAGAATCTATAGTTCCAAATTGCAAAATGCAGTCCAGTTATCTTTGTGCATTTCCGTTCGGATCTGTGATGATTTTTTTACGATCCGAGTAGGTTGGTTGGAGGAGACGCAGAGGGGCCTCCATCCTCCATCCTACATCCAGGGGTATCCAGCAGAATCCGTGGGGGAGGTAAAAAAGAATAGCTACCAGAGGGGTAGCATTCGGTCATCCGCGATCCAATTCTTGAAATCCCCTCGGCCTCCGCTCGGCCAACGGGTCCAAGTTTTCCTCGGCTTCACTTGAACCGCCTTAAGCAGAAAGGAACCAAGTCACACCAGCTATAGCCAAATGTAATTGGACATTTTAATGTTTTCAATGAAAACAGTTGTGCAAATTTCTGCGCAAATTTCAGTGAATTTTCTTCATAGTACGAAGCGAATTCCTTAAAATTTTATAGGAATCTGCAAAAAAACGTTCTCTTGGAAAAAAATAAATTTCCCAGTTGAATTTGGCAGTACCTGATGTGGCTTGTTTCCTTTCTGCTAAACACGGTCCTTTTTACCTGCTGTTTCAAATTTTGCGCGGAATCGGTTCCAAGCTCACTTAAAAAATGTGACCACGCGTGATCTTACAGGAACAAACGATAGTTACCTTTCTAAATCTTAATTATTATTCTATGGGGAGGGGAAGGGGGTCAAGGGGTGCCTAGCATGTTGGGTGCCGAACAGGAAGGCAGCGGGCGGAGGGTGTGGGCAGGGTCCAAAAGTCGGAATAAGAACTTTACCTTCTATATGCGGACGGCTGTATAGGGCAAAAAGCTACTTTGTCTCGGAAAACCATTGCTTGAAAAAGGATTCTTTTAGAAAATCGTCAAAAATAGTCTGCAAAACTAAAAAATCCTTCAGGTAATGCAGAATTGATAAATTTCTCATTTGACTAATCATACCGTCGAAGCAATAAAATTTTCTGATCCAACTTCTCAAGTGTCAGCAGAAACTTTAACTATTCAAATTTATAACCAATATTTTTTTTTTGTTCTGTGCAGGTGACTTCGGGAAATATCAGTTACGACAGTATTTGCTGCTTTCACTAGCGGCAGTATGTGCCGGTCTTCACATGCTCACATCGGTCACCGTCTCCGCCGTCCCCAAACACAGGTGAGAAACCCTTTCATCTCAAGAAATGCATCTCACTGAAAAAAATATCTTTGTGTATTTACTAAGAAAAGGGTAAAATTACCAAGAATTCAGGGTTCTATTTGATCCCAGTTTTTTCTTGGTAAAATTACCATTTATGGAATTGGTAATTTTACCGAGAAATCTAGTTAAAATTATTGAACTTTCTCGGTAAATTTACTAGACCTTGGTAAAAACGCCAATATTTTTTATCGACTGCGGTAGAAATACCGAGATAAATTGGCAAAATTACCAGGAATTGATTACCAATAAAAGTGGTATTCTTACCTGAAAAAAAAAACAGTAAATATACCGGTTTTTAGGTAACCTTACCAGTCTGTCTTGGTAAAATCACCAATAATTGGTAAGAAAAAGTGAGATGGTAAAGGTACCAACGAACCTTGGTAAAAACGCCGAGAATTTTTTTTCAGTGCGGAGAATGAATGTGACTATTGAGAAACTTTGTAAGAGCTCCAAGGGAGACGTTTCTTAAATTGCATATCGATGCATCGTTAGACGGAAGTACGAAACCACGTAGCTTTATTGTGGTGTTTCAAAATTTTCACTCCTACTTTATTTTTTCGAAGAGAAACAAGCGAACTTTATGACTTGAAATTAATACCGAATATTCTCAGGACAGGATTTACCTACTTGCCGCCCATGGGTCGCCTGTATTTTGCCGCCCCCTTCTCATTTGTTTTGAAATATCAATAAAAACCATCAAGTGAACGTGCCACTGGGGGGAGGATGCAGAAGAAGCGTTTACTTGTGTTGGACAAATTTTTTGGGAAAGCCCAGTCAACACTACTAGCAAAACTTCAAGGAACTTTGCGCGAAAGTTAAGTTCCGTAAACCTATCTCTGTGTGGACAATGCCTTCCATTCATAAGAAATGAACAAAAAATTACGAAAGAACAAACATATACGGTGTTTAATGATTTTAACTTCCGCCGCCGCGCCGCGCAGACTGCACTGTGTTTGGCGCAATGCGTGATGTATTCTGACAATCTTGTAGGCGCTAAGCGTTTCACGCTGACCGCACTGTCTTTGGCGCAATGCGTGAAGTATTCACGCATTTTTGTAGGCGCTATCCGTTTCACGCTGATTGCAGTGACCGCACTGTGTTTGATGCAATGCGCGAAGTATTCGTGCAGTCTTGTAGGCGCTAATATGTGTTACATGCCGACGGCTTCTCCTTTTCATTTCAAGTCCTCGTCGTCATTTCTCTCTAAGTCGCGCAGTTCCAGGCCAAATTGCGTGTTTGGTTTGTCTCTTAACTCGACTAATTAAAGGTGCTGTCTCTTGTATCACTGAAAGACGACTAAATCAGAAATTGCTACACTCTCAGGAAATGAGAGATTTTGTTGCCTTTTCTTGTTTGTAATTTTTTTTCTTAATTCGATTTTTTAATACCTACAATTAAAAAAAATTGCAAAATTTGCCGCCCCCTAGATGTGCTGCCATGGGTCGCGGCCCATGTGGCCATCCTTTCAATCCGGCCCTGAATATTCTACTAACAGAGAAGAAAAATCAAAAAAGTTTTCAAGGAATTAAGTTGACTGACTAGTTTTCCCAGGAAAAAATAAAATACGACAGAAAGGCTACAACGTCGCAAACGGAGATACGTGGTTTCGCAATTTGGCCATCGATACGTGCTGTGATCAGTGCATTTTTATTATTATAACTGCAGATTTTAAAAGATGCTACATACCGGCAAAGAATGGTCCGATAATTTTTCTATCCTTAGTGCGCTTTTCAGCTCCACTCGGGGATCCAATTTGATACAAGTATGCCTATCTCAATTTAACAGCCCTCCTATAAAATTATCAAATTATTGTTTGCCCTACAATTTGTTTGCCAAAGATTTTTTTTTTATTCTATCAGGTTGACATAAAAAAGAGCCAATTTTTCCATCTGTTGGTTGAATACATCGCGTCAGATGTTAAGGAAAAACTCATCATTTGCATGGTCGATGAGTCAGTGTTCTCTTCAAAAATCACACCACTGGTTCATACACTTGAAATTCCCCCAAATTCGACTCTATCCACATGAAAAGTCCAACAAAAGGCTCTTTGTGCATGCCAGAGACACGTTACTATCAGTCAATTGTGATATTTCAATATCCACGCTAAAGTCTGACGTCATTGTGATTGCTGCGTTGCTTCATGAAGATCTGAAGGCTCGAGGCCAAAAAAATCACTTATTGTACATGATGTAGGAAAAAACCGGAAAATACTATTAGTGAAAGAGCTTTCATGCCAATTTTTCATCTCTTTCCATAATGCAATCCTATTTTTTCATGCACTCGCGAGTTATGACACATTGACACATTCTCCGCTTTTTACAACTTTTGAAAAAGGACTTGATACGTTTTAAAGCAAATGGAATTTACTGAAATTTTCCATCAACTATGGACGTCAACTGCCATGGATGAAGGGAAAATTCGGATGATACTATCCTCATCCACGATGCTACGAGTCATACAGAGTCTAACATTCGAATATTATGAATTTCGTGGTAGCATACGTTCGCTAGTCATGCAGTACTTATGAGACAATTTAATAACTCGTCGACAGACGATAAGAGCGTGTACAACTGTACACATTCATAAAAACAGTGCCTCGTGTCCAAATTATTGTCACTGCGGCGTGAAATCATTCAGCATGCAAGTCTTTACAGATTTGGGAGCTTTCACAGATATCATGGATTTCGTAATCTCCGGCCGGATTTAAGCTCTCGAAGAGTTCTCGATCCTCCATATTCCATGAGGTTGGAGACGAGTTGTAGTGGGATTCGAGTGGGAACTTACGCGTTCCAGGGGAGGGCCGATCCAGGGGAGAGGGAGGGCATGGTGGTGTATCCCCCCTCAGGCCAAAATAGGAAAAGAGGGGGGAGAAAAAAAGTATTCTTACAAATTTACTGAAATAGTTTTGAGACAGGAATATATAATCAAAGTTTGAATTTTCTTCCAGTCATTAGGGAGGGACCCGAGAACGGATATTTACACCCAAATCTGCCGTTTTTCTGAGCTGCTATACTTCACTCCAACAACGCAAAAATATATAGTATCTACACAAAAATATAATTACGCTAAGAGAGATTTATTATTTGTCAATTTTCAACCCTCGAATAATGCACAAATTGTATACTAAACCTGCTCAAAAATCAATCTGGAACGGGCTATTTTATAAAATTTTCCAGAGGCTCCCTAATCCCTTTTGCTCAAGGGGGTGTTCCCCAAGACCCCCCCTTGATATCAGCAAATCCCCCCANCCCCTCCGATTCACTCCAGATCCCGCCACTGTCTCGTTCCTTATACAGATACGCCCCGGGAAATGAAAAAATATTCATTAATTAGATCATTGTTGCAGCCTAGTGAATTGAATCGAATTTTTAAAAACAAACCGTGTACCTCGAGAAAAAAAAATAATTAAAAAAAAAAAAAAAAAATTGCACCTTGAAATCTTTGCATCTGGGCCCAGAGATTTGTCAACGATGAGCTGAATTTTTTCGAACACCTCAAAAATGAACAGATAACGAGCTATAAACCGGTAGCGCTATAAAAGAAAGATGTTTTCGTGGTATCACGAGATGCTCCAGGTTGCGTACAAGTAAGAAGAAGTAAAAATCAAAAATCTGGCGTCGGGCGAGCACTTGAGCTCGTCAAATAGTTATTTTCGATGCTCGTTGACAGTTCAGGTCTTCAAACTCCGGCCCACGGTGGATCGAGTCAATGGGAGAGGTCGGACAAACTTTGTAAACTTTAGTAGCTCATAACTCCGCTCATACAAAACTTTGAGGTTCTTAAAATGGTTACATTGGTTTCTTCGTGAAATTTTCTTCAAGAAGCACCCCTTGGAATTTAAAATGCGACGAAATAAACGTAAAAAGTTGCAGTTTCAGTCAAAAATTTCATGGCCGCTTCTCTAATTGACTCGATCCACTGTGCGGCGGATGTAGCTGCGCAATCTTTCCGATGGGACCTAGTCCAGGCATTATAGGAAAAATAGAAAAAAAAATTTATATATAAGGTTTTATGTGCCCAAGTTGTTCATTGGNACAAGTTTTGAATTATTGACTGTATCACCATGATTCCAAAAATACACTACACAACATAGCATTGGCTAACAATAAAACAATATGCAATAAAATAAAGTCATGACAAGGTACATAGTCGAAAATGGCGCCGATTCCCATCAACCAACGCGCGGTCTCTCCAATGTAACATGGTCCATTGATACTCCCCAGCTGGGACCGTCCGGAATAGCAGCTCTAGTGCAAGCACCAGAGCCGCTAAAATATCCACTAATTAGATCATTGTTGCAGCCTAGTAAACTGTATCGAATTTAAAAAAAAAAAAACCGTGTACCTCGAGAAAAAAAATAATAATTTAAAAAAAAAATTGCGCCTTGAAATCTTTGTATCTGGGCCCAGAGATTTGTCAACGATGAGCTGACTTTTTTCGAACACCTCAAAAATGAACAGATAACGAGCTATAAACCGGTAGCGCTATAAAAGAAAGATGTTTTCGTGGTATCACGAGATGCTCCAGGTTGCGTACAGTGGCGTGGCGTGCTTTGCGATTTATCGATTGATCTGTCATTTAAACCTATGGAAAAGGATCGATGAACACGGTGTTCGCAGCGAACACCTTAATAATCGATTCTTTACCATAGGTTTAAATGGCATAACAATCGATACATCGCAACTCACGCCACGCCACTGGTTGCGTACAAGTAAGAAGAAGTAAAAATCAAAAATCTGGCGTCGGGCGAGCACTTGAGCTCGTCAAATAGTTATTTTCGATGCTCGTTGACAGTTCAGGTCTTCAAACTCCGGCGCACCGTAGATCGAGTCAATGGGAGAGGTCGACAAACTTTGGAAACTTTAGAAGCTCATAACTCCGCTTATACAAAACTTTGAGGTTCTAAAAGTGGCTTTATTGGTTTCTTCGTGAAATTTCCTTCAAGAAGCACCCCTTGA